TTATTAAATAATATGTTATAATTATATCAAATAAATACATAAAAATATTAATCCTAAACATTCGTATTAGTTTTGTTTAGATATATAAGATTCAAGTTTAAGATTTTCTTAAAAAATGTTAACATCACATATGAATACATAAAACTATATTTTGGGAATGAAACCATTTGAGCATAAGTTGAAAATCCAAATAATAAGAATGATACCGCACACTTAAATACCAAAATACGATGGTTGACATTATTAAAAATGGTTGAAATGTGGTGAATGAGCAAAACTGACAAAACTATGAAATTTTGTTGTAGAGAAAAGAAAATTGAATAGTTAGCCTACTACCTCATTTTATTAATCTATCTTATGTATACATGGTGTTTAGATCAATACATAGTGTTTGTATATCACTGTTATTGATTCTTAAGGATAATCATAATAATTACCAAAAAAAAATTTAGGATTTCATTTTAATTTGAAAGATATAATCACGTTTTTATGTATGAACGAAGTTCAGCTTCATTAAATCGGTGTAGTTAAGTACCTTATACAACTAGTGTTAAAAGTTGTAACTAATTTTAAAGTTGAGTTTATTTTGAAATAAAAAAAAACATTTTAGGTATAAATTGGAAAAAAATACAAAATGTAGGGTTTTTTATGAAATGAAAATACTTAATTTCCCTTTTGGTAACCTGTTAGGGTCTAAAATAACAAGTAATAGGTAAAAGTTGGGTCTTTTTTGGAAAAAAAAAATTTAGGTCTAAAAAGAAAAAAAATCAAAATATAGGGTCTTTTATGGAAATAACTCAAAGAAATATGGTCTATACTTTTAACTTGGATTCCTTAAAACAGATCTCTTTTAAGTCATTGATTAACATAGTAGTTCCTTACCACATGCGTAATAGTTTACAGCTAACATCTGAAAATTTGTTCATTATTCAGTTCTTGAAATTGCTTTAAAAGAAAGTCTTGCCCAAGAATTAATTAAAATAAAAAAACTATATATCGTAATAAGAAGATTCATGGAAGCTCACTTTTTCCTATTGACACCTTAGAAGAAAAACTTGGGTTTTGAAATTTTGATTTAGGATGTGTTAGTTTTGTTAAATCCTGGAAGACATTGTCGTTACGTATAAAAATACTTTATTTTGGAGTTTAAACTTTAAAGAAAACCATTTGGCGGTGAACTAGTTTTTTAAATAACATAGAAATAAAACAAAATAAACATGAAATAAAAGCCGAATAAAACTAATAAACCGAATAAAATTAATAGTTATATCAGCAGAACGTGAGCCTTTCAATTACCAGCTGTAAATTGTATCTCTGATTTAGGTTCTTTCCCATTTTAAGAGACTGAGCGAATTGTATCTATAAATTGGTTTCCTTAAAACAGATCTCTTTTAAGTCATTGATTAACATAGTAGTTCCTTACCACATGCGTAATAGTTTACAGCTAACATCTGAAAATTTGTTCATTATTCAGTTCTTGAAATTGCTTTAAAAGAAAGTCTTGCCCAAGAATTAATTAAAATAAAAAAACTATATATCGTAATAAGAAGATTCATGGAAGCTCACTTTTTCCTATTGACACCTTAGAAGAAAAACTTGGGTTTTGAAATTTTGATTTAGGATGTGTTAGTTTTGTTAAGTCCTGGAAGACATTGTCGTTACGTATAAAAATACTTTATTTTGGAGTTTAAACTTTAAAGAAAACCATTTGGCGGTGAACTAGTTTTTTAAATAACATAGAAATAAAACAAAATAAACATGAAATAAAAGCCGAATAAAACTAATAAACCGAATAAAATTAATAGTTATATCAGCAGAACATGAGCCTTTCAATTACCAGCTGTAAATTGTATCTCTGATTTAGGTTCTTTCCCATTTTAAGAGACTGAGCGAATTGCATCTATAAATTGGTTTCCTTAAAACAGATCTCTTTTAAGTCATTGATTAACATAGTAGTTCCTTACCACATGCGTAATAGTTTACAGCTAACATCTGAAAATTTGTTCATTATTCAGTTCTTGAAATTGCTTTAAAAGAAAGTCTTGCCCAAGAATTAATTAAAATAAAAAAACTATATATCGTAATAAGAAGATTCATGGAAGCTCACTTTTTCCTATTGACACCTTAGAAGAAAAACTTGGGTTTTGAAATTTTGATTTAGGATGTGTTAGTTTTGTTAAATCCTGGAAGACATTGTCGTTACGTATAAAAATACTTTATTTTGGAGTTTAAACTTTAAAGAAAACCATTTGGCGGTGAACTAGTTTTTTAAATAACATAGAAATAAAACAAAATAAACATGAAATAAAAGCCGAATAAAACTAATAAACCGAATAAAATTAATAGTTATATCAGCAGAACGTGAGCCTTTCAATTACCAGCTGTAAATTGTATCTTTGATTTAGGTTCTTTCCCATTTTAAGAGACTGAGCGAATTGTATCTATAAATAGACCATAGCTGTCTTTTTCCCTAAAATAAGTTATTCATTCTCTATAAATTGTACGTACTGATAGAGAGTGTATAAACTATAACGTGAAGCAATTCTTGTCAAAATCTATTATATTTTTTTTAACACATTTATGTATAACAAAATTAAAACCTCTTTATCGTTTGATAAAATTTTGTTTTTTTCTCAAAATGTGCACTTCTTATACATAAAACAAAAAAAAATTATTTAGCTTAAGAATATGTAACTTTTAATAAAAAACTAGGGAAGAATCCCCCGAGTTACGGGGTTGGAGGGTATTTCATAGTCTCTTATTACTGTTACTATCTATTTATTTATGCATGGATGAAGATTTCATTAATCGAAAACATACACACACACAACGATCTTCTCATATAAACAACAAAAAGAAACTCTGAAACCCAATTCCTTGTATATTCAAAAGAGGTATATACTCATTGTTAAACCAATGACTGTTTTAGGGAACTCAAGTTCTTCCTTGTTTTCTTGACTATTAGGAGCAAATCCATCTTCATCATCAACATTTGTTGCATCTTGACCATATTTCTTCTTAATAATAGACTATGTGTGCGAGTAATGCCAAGATAACTCAAAACCTGAAAAGTTCAACCGTGATCAACTCATACAACCTCCTGCAACAACAATTGTGCTCTTTTTCTATAACAATTAACATTTTCAGTTTTGTCTGGATAACAGGTATATTAGCAGATAATTTCTCAAGCATGTGAAAAATTAGAAATATTTCTATAGGAATTTTGTTTCTATTATTTATTGATATATAAAACGGTGTAATTGGCGTTTAATACTTTTGTTTCTCTAAAGAAGCAATAGACAAAGACCCAATAGCCTTTAAGTGGGCCTTCTACACCATTGTTGGCCTTTTAAACTGTAATGCCTAAAATACGTCATTCATTGCCACAAAATGATCACTAATAGAAAGAAACTCCAAAAAAAAAAAAAATTAATCTCAGAATTTAAGCATTATGATCCAATTTAGGTTAAATCAATATAACAGCAAAATTTTAAATCCACTTTCTTCCAAAAAAAAAAATTAAGAACCAAAGAACACAACTTTTCTACATCACTACTAACTTGGATTTCTAGCTTTTCTTTAGTTTCTTCATCAATATACTTGTTCTCATCATTTGTGAGTCCAATTCGCTTTCCAGATCCTGCAAACAAAACTACTCTGTATTTTTAATGTAAATCCTAAGAAAATAAATAAAAAGACAACTTGAAAATTAAAGAAAAGAATAATGCATACCTTTGTATGAGATCGTGTTAAATAGCAAGTATGAGTAGCCCAGTTCTTTGTTGGTTGAAGGATAAAATGATATCAATAATAAGTATTGATTAGGGCGTTGTACTTTGAAAAATGCAAAATCTACTAATCAATAAAATACATCAGCTTCACATTAGCAGAAAAGAAAAAGGATGCTAAATCTGCTAAGCGCATAGATAGCCTCTTCCCTGAAGGGTAATTGAAATGTAGTTGCAGCTAAAAATAGAAAAATGAGTAGTAATTCTAGACGAAGTTGCTTACAAATTACAATATGGCATTAACTAAACATTTTTAGCCTCAAGAAGAATAATTAGTTAGGCAGCAGACCCGAGGTTCCATTATTAGTCATCCTCCTCACATAAAATAATAGAAAGTTAAAAGAATTTAGATTTTAAGTCATGACAAAATTGGTAAGCAATTGTAGATATTTCTGCAAAAAGGGGTAATCTTTTGGGAAAATACCGCAAATAGACAAAAAATGGGGATCAATTTCTAAATTTAGTCATGAAAAAAGGTTTTTCCCGATATAGACATACATTCCGCGGAGGACCCTCCGCGGACCTCCGCGGAACCATGAAATCTCCGCGTAGAGGGGGTAATTTCGTAATTTGAACCATTTTTTTTTGAGAAAAACGAAGGGGTCCTCTTTTGGTCCCCACTGGTCCCCGTTCCTCTTCGTCACTCCGCATCGGGTCGCATAGGTGTTGATCGAAGACTTCAAATCCGGCGACGACTTCAACTCCGGCGGAATACGCCGTGAAACGACTTCAAATCCGGCGAAATCGAGTAGCACAGCTCTCTCCGTCACCGATGGACCCCGAATTCCCCGATGTTATGGCCGATGGATATGGTTCCCGGGTATTTCTCACATTCTCATCTAATTATTAATGTCGAAAATGTCGAATATGATTCAAATTAGAGGAGAACCCATTTTATTACATTGAATATGTATACAAATTTAGGATTTTTAGGTTTACAAATCACAGATACGTTTTTTGGGATGATCCATTCCGCGGAGGGGGACGTCAGTCCGCAGAGGGTGCTCCACGGAGTGATGTGTTTCCTCCGCGGAATGTTATAATCGAAGCAATGCAGGCCTCCGCGGAATGACCTCTAGCCTCCGCGGAGTGATGGTTTTTGCATAATTTTTATTTTTCTGCTTTTAAGTATGTTGCTATTTATTTCATAATGAAATAATATTTTTTTTTATTTTCAATTAGTAATGTTTTAAATGAAATAATATTTTTTATTTTTTTTTTGTTATGTAGCACGAAGATCTCAATCAAAAAGCGGATTTAACTTTGAAAGGCGTGGTGGGGACTATCATTAAAGACTATTTTCCGCGCCTAACACAATCACAACGAGTATTATTCGAAGCTTCCCCCTTTGGAATATTCTTAGGAATGCATATCCCACATGGTGATCCCTTACTTGTGCATATGATGACGTTGCACGAAGTAAGGTGTCAACAAATATTTGAAATGGGGAGGTTTCTGTTTGATATAGAGGGGATCCAGTTGGGTTTTGGTGAAACTAAATATATTCTGATTTGTGGTTTAAAATTTGGTCCTTATGTGGATTTACTCCATAACGAAAAGGGCCAGTCAAATTCAAATCTCTGTGCTCGGTTGTTCCCAGATATTTCTGATGCACGTTTGCGGCTGAAAGATTTAGAAGACTTGATTATGTCCCCGAATTATTTGGCACTACAAGATGAAGATGCTGTGATGCTTATCCAGCTTGTTTTTATGTTGAAGGGTCTACACGGACGGGACGTTAAAACGGGCATTCCTACAGCAGTATACAAGCTTGCTGATAATATAGATGATTGGAACAAGTATTACATTTAAAACAGGCATTCACGCAGTAGTATGCAATGCACTAATTATAATAAATAAATTGAAAATTGCAAGTTTGCATGGGGTACGTATTTCTGGAAATATACTTCGCGTATGATGCGTGGAATGTTTAAGAAAATAGAAGTGTTTAGTGAATTCAAGCAGGCCAATCCCGAATCGAAGAAAGTACACAAGTGTACCGTTCCTGGTTTTATGCTTCCGTTTAAGGTTACTTTCTAATGCATTTTAATAGTTATCATTGTTTAGTTTTTTATACTATAAAAATTTGAACTTCGTTTTGTATTATATAATAAGTTTGTATCATGACTTTTATAGTATAATAGAACGATACTTACATTTTTTTCATAGATATGGATTTTGGAGACGTTCCCAGAGGCAACCAAGTTTTATATACGCACGCTGACAGAATTGCCACGGATGAGAGCGTGGAGAAGTAAAACACCGTTAAATTAGGTTCAATGTTGTCGAATAATGAACGTGTCTGTGGTATGGTTTTTATATTAACAATCATTTATATTTACAAATTCCAATGTATTTTCATGTTAAACTAACAATCTAATTTTTGCAGCCTAACAACCAACCTATTAATGTCGTGGCAAACTCAGAGGAGCTGATGTTGCCGTTTTATGTTCGTTATGTCAATTGGACTCTTAACCCTGTAGAGTCTCCCCCACGGCAACATTGTCCTGTCCGAAATAGTCCACCTCATGTTGCCTCACCTGCTCGAAGAAGGATGTACAAGTCCGAAATAGAAACATCTTCGACTGAATCTGCCACAAATGCTTCTTCCTCGCAACATCTTGAAATAGAAACAAGTTATATGTCAAACGACACATCAAGATTGGTAAAGAAGAAGAAGACGAGCACAAAGGCATTAGTGAAGCGTCTACTAGGCGTTGTGGCTGACTTAAGTTCTAAAGTAGACCGTGTATTACAGAAAAAAGATGAACCAGACACAAATGTTGAACAAGACAGAGGGTTTCGAGAGGAGGAAGAGATGATAAATGAAGAGGAGGAAGAAAAATATCACCATGATACACATTTTGACTATGATGATATAGGTACTCATGGTTTGGAGGGGGAATTTGGGCCTACACCTGCGCATGTTGAGCCGTCATCGGACGTGGGTGAACATCACACAAAAGAAATGACTCCTATTGTTAGGCCGCAACGAAAGAGGGGTGTTCCATGGTATCAGCGGACTCCGTTCACAGTGGTACAAAACTCATATTTTAAATTTGGTATATTTTTAAAATATTAACGTATTGATAATTATTTAACATGTTAATTTTTTAGTTGCAATCCACACCAAAATTGAAGAAAACCACCAAAGCAAAGAAAAAAAAAGTGGTGAAGAGTCCTGAAAAACCAAATGAAGACATTGTGAATGAAGAGAGTATGATGTTTCAAATCATCTCCTGCTCGACAGTGTTGAAGCTGCCAGTACGTTGAGTTTTTGGAAAGAATGGCATAGGACCTCTTCCAACCTAAACATTAAACATAGGCTGCATATGCTCACACTGGATGTGGAGTTTTGGTCGAGGTTACTTGCAGTTACTGACGCTGGGTGGTTAATTTCTTCGGTAACATTCGTTAAATATAATTTTTAACTACATTTTTTGACGATAATTTATATAAAAAACTGTAACATTTTTATCTTAAAATGTACAGCATATTGCGATATAGAGTGCCTTCCTTATGGAAAGACGGTCGGCGAACGCAAGGTGGACGATATTCCCTCAAGAACTTAATTTGCAAAACGGAAAAACATATTTTCTTAGGAATATAGCAAATGGTGTCGGAGGCCATCCTAAATGGAAGGATGTGGATATGGTTAGTTAAGTTTATTAATTATTTATTTTATATAGGAAACGAATTAATGACTATTAAATTTATTTTTGTTTGTAGGTTCTATTCCCCATAAACGTTCCTCATGCCCATTGGTTTTTGGCAGTGCTACATTTAGATATTTGGAAAGTACACATTTATGATTCAGCACGATCTATGAATTACTTCACAACGTACTTGACTGGTAGAGAATTCAAAAGTTTTGGGGAGAGTATAATCGAAGAGCTAGATGCGATTGACTACTGGAAGGATTTCCCCGATGGACACAAAGACAACGCAGTTGTGGAGTTTATTGATATTGTAGACGCGCCACAACAAGAATATATTACTAATAGAGGGGATTGTGGAGTATTCGTAAGCATGTATATGGAAATGATTGCTTCGGGGGTACCGGTGAAGAGTGATAAGCCATGTAGAGATGCGGGATTTCTCTACAGAAATAGGATGACAAATATTATTTGGGATACTAAATAACTTGATGTTTGGAAGTTTGTATACATTATTATGAAATACTTGTTTTTAGTAGTTTTGTTTAATATAAACAACTTTTGTATCATATATTTTTTGAAACATAATTCACCAACATATATTACAAACATTTGAAATAACATAATAACATTACAGAAAACATTACAAATAAAAGATGAACGACTAACAAACATTACATAGAACATTACGAATAAAAGAGTCGTCTACATGAAAAAGGGTTTATTTCTAACCAGATTCCAAACGTCCTTATACTCGAACTCAGTTTCATCAAACTGGCACATGTAATATCCGTTCACGTATTCAAGAAGTTCTTCATCATCAGCATCAGAGCATCGCATTTTCTCATAATTGTAGCATCGATTGTACCATGTGACTTTAGTCTTTAAATCCATCCATTTACTAACAATATCGGGTTTTAGTTGTTCTTGTCCTTGTCCCACCTTATAGTTGAACAAAGCTACTAAGCGGGACCATTCATCACCAAGAAGGCAATTAAGGGGAGCCATTACTGGTAGACCCTCGTAAACGGTAATCCAGCATCGTGTTAGGACCAACACCTTTGTTGTCGTCCATGGAGATGTACCATTTGTTAGAGCAGACGCATTAGACAGATTAGCTGCATTTGAAGACGTTGGTGATGCCATTTTGTGAAATGATCCCTTACCTCTAAATCGGACGTATAGATACGTGCTTTACTATATATAAAAAGATAGGTAACGCGGACTGACAATACAGAAGTTGGTTTCATAAGCCATATGTCTGATTCTATAGACTTTGCATTTCAAAGAGTCTACCATGATTCATATCATGGCTATTGTTGTAAAAATATATAGCGAGAAAATACGCGCTTCCATCGGAAGCAATACAGTCGTAGAGCAGTTGTTCTGGAAGACTTGTAAAGCGTATAATTTATCTCATTTTTACAACTCGTTCTGCGGAGGTATTAATGTATCCGCAGAGGGCCTACGCGGAACAATCTTTTACACATTAAAAAATCAGAATTTTAGCTGGTCCGCGGAGATGACGTCATTCCGTGGAGGTTCCTCCGCGGAATGTATGTCTATATCGGGAAAAACCTATTTTATGACTAAATTTAGAAATTGACCCCCATTTTTTTTGTCTATTTTCGGTATTTTCCCTAATCTTTTTCTTCCTGCAAAGAACATTTAATAGGTTTTGGTTTCATAAGCGGTTTCCCTAAAAGAAATTATAGGTTCGGGTTTAGAAATCAGAATTGCATCAGACCTTATTCATAATTGTATTGGACCTTCAAATAATAATAAAAATGGAAGAATCAAGCACAAATTTAGAAGATAATCACTTGACTCGAAATCCTCAGAGGGTCGATTTTAAGAAATAAACAGGGTAATTATGAAGTCGATGATGGTGGTGGCGAGAAGTTGGGTGCGTAAGTCTTTCCTCCGGTCTCTTACACATGCTCGCAAATTGTTGGAACATAAGGCTTTGTCAAGAAGAAATCTCCCAAGAGTGAAGCCACAGGGTAGAACACCGTCGTTGCTGAGCGCCACCAATCGTGTAGTTATGGCTATGGTTCTGTGACTGACGAACGGAGACACCAGACAGCGTAAGATTTGGAAGATGCACTGAATCGAACCGTAGAACCCTTTAGGAAATTGAAACCCGCTCTCAAACTCCTTTGTAATTTGAACGTACCCTCCCCAAAATCAAAAAGCTTCAATCGAACATCGTAGAAATACCCAGAAACAAAAGCGGTGGAGAAAGTCGATGATTTTGAAGGGTTTTAGTCGAAGCCGAATACCTGAAGCCGACTTTATGAGGAAAAAAGGTTAGCGTAGTCGAGTGGTCGGTGGTTATTGTAGCTAAACCCTCCCATTTTTAATATATAATAACTAGATTATGACCCGCGTTAAACGCGGGGAGCGCATAAAAAAACACAGAATTGTAAACATATATTACATCATAGGAAGCATGACAATTAAAAGTACATTACCATAGCTATTTTAAATTCATTAACAAACATTACAATAACTATTTTAACCTCATAACAATTAAAAGTACATTACCATAATCAATAAACACAAACATTATTTTCCCATTATAGTTTGAATAAACTTCCACAAAATATCGCAGACGAAATTAAAAATTCATCTTGCCATATCTCTGATGTTAGCTGCTTCCAACATCTTCGATTCAAACACTATGTTTGTTAAATTGGTTGAAATCAAAACATTTATTGCAAATAAAATAATAAGCCAAAGAGTAAGGAAATTACCTTTAAGCTTAAAACAAATTGACAATAATAGGCTTGGTCAACATAGTTTGTTATTTAAACTTAAAACAACTTGACAATAATAGACTTGGTCAATTTAGTCCATAATCGGTTGTAAGTCAACATTGTATTATAAGAGATCTAAAACTATTATGTTTATGTTTTTGTGTGTGAAAAATATGCTTGAACACATAACAATGACCAAATACTTGAATTTTATCTGAATTATTATAATTTTGTATTGTACATAGAAAATAAAACACGAGTTTATGATTAAAAGAATAAATAAAAAAACTAATAAATCATAGAGCAATATAAAATATTTAAATAGTTCATTATAAAAAACAACTATGTTCGAATGCAAATTAAAATATATACAATCACTAATATCTACTTGGCATAGTCACTGTATCAAAATCAGAACGAATTGAAAAAACTTGTTGAGAAGGATGTGCCGGAACTACATACTCAATCGTATTTCCTTTAAAGAAATATATGGTATTGTTTCTATAATCTCACCATTCATGTGCACCTTCATTGTAAGTACTAATATCTACTTTAACCCACCGATTCTGAATGAAAACCCAAATAGCCCACAAACGATCTCCACTTACAGAGAAATATCTCAATTTTCCGTGAAACTGGATCAGTCTCGATGCATACGGTTTGAAGTCATTAATAGTAGAAGGTGCAAATATGAGTATATGTTCTTCTGAATAAGTATCAAATCGCAATATGGTATCATTAGATAATAAGAAGTAAACGACACCGCCACTTGTAACTGGCTCATCAGAAACAGGATAAACAGATGATGATAACTGGATATTTTGAAACTCCCTCCATTGCCATGTAGTAGATGAAAACAATTCTATGTTGTAGTAATTGTAGTCCACTTTTTCCTTAAGGAGGTCACTACAAATAAAATAACATATAAGTAAATAATAAAGTAAATTAATAACATAAAATATACTATGTATAAACTCTTACGATGGCATTGTGTATGACAATCAAATGACCTTGAAATGTAATGGGTTCGAACTGATAACTACCAAAGCAAACTTTACCGCAGTGTATTTAGAGCTCGGAAACGGTATCCATTTGGCATCTGTAGTCGTTGGTTTGATAACAAATAAAATCTTTGAAATGTATTCATTTGGATCATAGGATTGGAGTCCGCACAAGGATGATGCTAAAATTGTACAAGTATGTGGTAGCCAATCAATGTCAAGATTTAGTAAGTGGTACCGAACCAGTAATATCTTCAACTATAATGGTAATTTTCAAACTGAAAGCATTGATGTAAACAGATTTAGTAATATAAATTTATATAATTTAACATAACAATATAAAAATATTTATAAAATAAGTTTCAAAACCTGGGAACAACAGAAATGACTTTGTTCATGCAGCTTGAAGTGTTACAATAAAAAACTTCTTTATCTTGAAACTGATCATCATGTATTAAAATTTGTTTTACGGCTTTCTGTTGACATCTAGTACAAGTAAAACAGTACCATTCCCCTTCAGCACATACTTGCTTAATCGTACGGGTTTATTAAGTATAATGATTGTTTATCTGTTTGTGGACAAAATAATGATTGTTTGAAGTTAAATGTTTATTAAGTATAATGCTTAAGCGGAACTTTTATAAAAAAAAAATATCAAACTTTCTGCAATCATGGGTTTATGATTAAAGGTACAAAGCAAAAAAAATGCAAATTTTTTGTTATAAAATGTGTAGTAAAAATAAATGTACAATGCATGGGCAATTTGGGAATGTTGGTATATATATTTATTTTGTCGTATTTTTACTATTATAAAAGAACAAAATATTTATGAAGGTTTTATACTAAATTTACATAAT